ACGAAGCACAATGGAGAAGCAAATAAGCTTTTTCGTTTCCTTTTTTTTTTTTTTTTTCTTAAAGATAATTTAAAAAAGATAATTTAACTGGATTAAAGTCTGTGTCAGGATTCTCTTCGTGTCTTTGGTAAAATTCAGAAGTTCAAGAGATTATTAACGATAAAACTTTATGAAGATTTATAAGAAAATGTTGATTAAGTGTTCATTAGTAATATCCTGATAAATTAATATCATATCTGCAAATGGATGCGCAGAATTTTGTTGAAGTCCAGTAGTAACCGAGTTACCTAAAAAAAAAAAAGATGAATTAGTAATGAATTGAAAAAAAAATTATGTTTGGTTTTTAAATTAAAGTTAATGAGAAGCATGGAAGTTGTTATCGTAGATTCCTAAAATTCTTTGAAACATTTTTTAAAATATTATCAAAAAACAAGTTTTAGAAATTCCTATTTCGGTACAAAATGATATGAACTTCAAAGAGCAGAATGAAATAGAACATAACTTATAATATAGTGCATTTGCGCGTGGCTGAGAGAATGGCTTGCGTTCACGCGTTCATTCATGATCATTTATTAGCACCGAAGATAATCGTGTCCATTGGGTAATCCGTTACAAGAGACGAGACCGATGCAAAAATGGTATGTAAGCTTTTCATGCAAAAATAGCGGTTTTCTGATCGAATGCACGATTATAATATATACTTCTAAAAAATTCAGATATTATTTTCTAACCTAAAACAAAATATTTGTTGTTATTTTTCTTTTTGCTCTCTTTTCTAAAGCCATATAACCGATATGATTCATTATTTTTATAGATTCATGAATTATTTTGAACATTTCGAGTCCTTATATTCTATATTCTTTAAATACGCTTTATATATCATATAATAAATTAACCGCCTACATTATTGACTTTAATCGACAATTTTCAAATTGACAAAGTATAACATATTAAAAGACTGTACCTGCTTTGACAAATACTGTTGATTTATAAAATATACAAAAAAATGTATATTTTATTGTTCCAAAAAGCATGATTCATCTTGCAGAAAGCAAAAACGTGAAAATCGTTGAAGCTTATTGTAGCTCGAAGTTATTCCAAACAGATCGCGAGGAACGTAAATAAAAAATGTTGCCAACATTTCTTACAGTGCAACATTTACCTCTTCCGAACGACAAAGAAGCATTCAAAAAGTCCACTTCGATTTCGTGAAATAAAAATATATCGTATTAATATAACAATATTTGTACATATATTATATGTATGCACAATATAGGTCACCTATTTTTATTCAACAACGTATGAAACATCATGTTCGTGCCAATTGACTTCCGAATTCTTGGCATAATCCGAATCGTCGCCATTACACTGTGAATCGTTGATTATTTATCGAAATTTGTCAGTCGCTTAAAGTTGCGGAATCCTCTTACGATCGGGAACAAAGATGAATATGGTGAAGGCGAATAGGTCATATTATATGTCGTGTTTGAAGCTGACGAAGTAAATCGAGCGGATATACGCCACGCGTATGAGAACTCGTCCCATATTTACATCGCGCCAATTTTCACCCGCCAACTGTTAAGCATTAGTCACGGATGAGTAGCACATATACGAAGAACGCCTCGTGTATCGTAGATATCTTCCTTTTTCCTGGTCAGAGGAGGCTTTTGACAAGCATTTCTAATTAGTCGAATCAAATAATACGGTCCTAAGTTGCGATCAATCAATGCTGTTTTAATTTGGCCTCGCGTGCAAAACTACTGATCACAAACTAACCTTTCTTCGATAATTCGAACTTCTGTTCGATAGTTTCGTCAAGCGTATCTACCTTCAAACGTGAAATTATCGATATATCGATATATCGTCACGTGACTGATGATTCGTCGTGTTACGCCTACTAGTGGCGCAGGTCGAAATCGACAATATTAAGTAAGGTTATGGTACGAAAAGAAGCTTCTAATTCGATCACAAGCATTGATCGAAAATATAACATCGAAAAATAGATAAAAGAATCTCTAGAATGGATTATTTCTTTTTTTTATCGCTTTCATATGGCGTTAATGTTTTATTTACATATCGTGGACGCTAAAAATTCACATTTTTTATCGAATTATCTTAAACATTTTTAATTGCAACAATTTTGACATGCGATTTAGTTTGCTTTGCAAGAAAAAAAAATAAAACTATATATTATTAAAATTTTTAATAAAGCTAAAAATATATGATGTGTATTATCAATGAGAATATACACGATGATTAAGAACAATTATCTCATTGCGAGTAGTACGTTTTATGGGTGCAACGATCTCGGTCTACTAAACGACAAGATCAATGAACACGATTAACCAATCGATAACGAATGAAATTACAACTTTGAATTTTGGTGATCTATAAAATTACAACTTTAAATTTTCGACAAGTAACGTCTGATAGTTAAAACGGTATTTCGATAAATCTACCTTAACCTTATTTTCTTTAAATTAAAATTAATTAAAAAACCTATTCAAAAAGATCATGAAATTTATTAAATTTTACAAAAAAAACTTGTAATTAAAAATATTATGTAATAATTATATCATAAAATTACATATATTATTTTTTTTATTAAATAATCCAGAAATTTTGTTGTCACTTATTTTTTTCAAACAATATAAATGAATAAATTTTTTTAGATTTTTGCTTTTTACAATATTATTTGAATATTTATATTGAATTTACGAATAAATTAATTATCATGCAGTTAATTTTACGAATGGAACGGTAGAAAAAGAAAGAATGTACGCGCGTGCGTGCATACACAGACGAGATAAGAATAGACGAATGACAATGCACCGGGAAAAACTAATTTGGCACGGACAAAGGAAACATAAACAATGCAAATAACTGTTTGTCAAAATCAACCGCCATGTATAACTTAATTTTTCCACTTCCATACCAGTTAATTACTACAAAATCAAACGTGTGAACAGGGTAAAAACACGTACTTATCCTGATTTACTCGATTAGAATACACAAGTTAACCGGTTGGATTTGTTCCAAAGCGAAGTTGTTCCTTTCAACACTACAACTATCCGGTCTAATCGATGTTTTCGAGCATTGGGAATTAAATGTACATTTAATTGAAATAATCATCATTGAAAATACGTGTCAGGATTCAACATCGTCCCTTTTTATCATTTACATTAATAATATTATTCATTTTGTAAATAGCAACTAAAATTACCTTGCATTCGTGAAGAATAAACTTTCTCGATAAAAAAAAACGAGTCAGTACTCTATATTTAGATGATCTATATTCGAAATTTTTTCCCGTCCAGTTATTCCTGTTTTAAATTCTTTTCCGAATTTCCGAGAAAAGAAATTATATATTCATATATATATATATATATATATATATATATGAACAGAAAATTATAGAAACAACATACATAAAGTGTTGTCAACTCGTAGCAAAGTCTATCATTCCTTGATTAGATACAAAATTAGAAAGTGAACTAATGAACAAAAATAAAATGATAGTAAAAAGTCAGACTATTAACTTATTTTTTTTTTTTTTTTTTTTTTTGATAGAATTCAATATGTTTTTTAAAAATTTTCAAAATATAAATATTTTTTAAAAAAAAATATTAATACTCAACAATTGTATAATTAAGTATTATTATAAAAATATATTGTTACGATGTTTTTAATATCTACAGTAGGTAAGGTCAGCGTATTGGTGATAAGGTCATTGCAAGAATGACGTACGCGTCCTTCAGTTGTTCGTCCTCGAATGTAAAGGAATTAATTTTTAATGAGAAAATATCTGTTTCGTTGAATCTTGCGTAAAATCCTTACTACGCAACAATATTTTCACAAACACTTCAAAGATTTATTTATATTTTCGATTTAAATTTTAAGAATCTCAATTTAATTTTTCGAAGAATTATTACAGTTTACACAATTACCAAATCATTGGAGTCTATGTTACAAGAATTTCAGAGAAAAATATCGATATCTTCCCGATCACGATCAAGATATTCTCCAACAATAGGGCATTGACATACGAACAACCTTTGAACGAGAAAACACCGGTTGCAGTGAATGACCTTACGCCCTTGATATTCTCGAAACACGTTCTCTCTGTTTGAAACTCACATTTAAAACAAGTACTCACGCGACACGAAAGAGAAAACGAAAATTACCAAACACCGTAAAAGTAATGAAAAAATTAGGTCAGTTCGATGGTATTGCCATAATGCATCGCAACATCTTACGAACAAGAATTCTTAAAATGGCACGGCATATTGCAATGAACGTTGATATTTTCAAGAATTTCGATTATCGTAAATCGAAGATATTCGAGAATTCGAAATGGCGTCTCGAGATTTGAACATGTCTATCGAGATTCGAGCGAAAGGTTATACTTCTAATTCTACAAATTTCGAGAGAAAGAAAAAAAAAAGAATTTAATGCAGTTTTACAAGTTAATTTTATAATAAAATATCGGAAACTACTCACGTAAAAAGCACGAAAAATTCCAATGTTTCTCGTTGTTATCGCAGTTTTGATCAAGATAGTCCTCGAGTCCTCGATCACATACAGAATTCGAACAGAATTTCAGTAGGTCTCGAGTTCGATATTGGCCGTAGCCGGTATCTTCGACCTCGTCGTCCTCGGCGTCGTCCTCCTCGTAGCTCCTGTCACACATGCACTGTGCATCGGCCACGAACATGCAGCCATTGCGCGGCACGCAGTCAATGAACCCGCATTGCTTTTCACCCGGAGTCTTTGCTTTTTTTTTGCTTCTTAAAGCTCTGCACGCACTATCGCCGGCCTCTATCCGCGGATCTTTGGTCGCACACTCACGACATATATTCCGGTGGCGGTTTTGCACGAGGAATACTCGACCCTCCCAGTGTCACTGATTCTCTTGCCTCTTCCTGCGCCGTGTCTTCGTTATCTCTTTCTTGCTCTCTCTCTTTCTTATATGTGTATATGTGTTACGCGGGTGCGCACGCGCGTGTTTCACGTCTCTCCTCGCTTTCGCACGTGTATATACGTGTGTATATGTCGCGACGAAAATCCTTCTCTGTCTGTCTTTTATTTTTCTCTCTCCCTCTTCCTACCTTCGTATGGTCGTTCAGTGACCTGCTCTTTCTTTCTTTCTCTAACACCAATACACGCAACTGCGATTTCTCACTAATTTTTCCTTTTTTTTATTACAAATCACGATTCAAGAAAATACAAAATATGAATAATAAATGCCCGCTTAGACACGGGATAAAAGACAGTGGTGTCGTATCACGATCACTCGCACGAACTGACTCGTATCGGAGTCTCGTGTCCCCCCCGAAATTCGACCACTGCTTCGCGACGCGACACTCGCGGCGGTCGGATGCAGACTGAATCGGACGCTACGTGCCTCGCTCGTGTATTGCCAGAACGTCCCTCTCCTAACCACCCTCCCTCTTTTTCACTCGTTCTCTTTCTCTCCCCCCTATTTACTTCTCTTCGCGGTAGCTATCAGCTCGTGCCAGACCCGAGGCTCATTTTTATTTGCGATGCACAAATGGTCAGAACGGAGAAAAGAAATTTATTATTGAAATTGAAAATCTTTTGTCAAACTTCCTTCTTTCATTTGATATCCATGACTATTGATAGAATCTTACTTAATGACACAAATTATTGATATATAAAATCATAGTCTCTGTTAAAAATAATTACATTTCTCAATCTATTTCTTTTATTGCATTTCAAATTCTAATTAAATAAAAAAGATATTTAAGAATAACATATTATATATATTTTAAATAATATTTTAATCATTTTTGATTATATAAAACGATTCATAGTTTTCATTTATAGCATTTTCTCCATAAATCATTAATTTTTGGAAAATTATATATTATATATTGTGTGTGATTGATATGATACCATTATGTAATAAAATAATTTTATAAATATTAATCGTATTTTTTATATTTGAAAATATCATTAAATATATATCAGTATGTAGTACTAATATGTAATATTGTAGTATATTACAGTTATGTAATAGAATTCGAGTGAACATGAAGTCGATTCATCTTTTGATTTTGTTTTCAAAAATTTTATTTTCTGAATATATATTACAAAACTGATATTTTTGATATATCTATTATAACTATAATTAAATTATAGTTTAGTCGATGAATTATTTCATTTGAATGTCTTAGGTATTTATTTAATTCAGACAATGAAAAAGGGCATTAAAAATTCAAGTTACTCTAGCTATTTTAATATATTCTAAAGCAATTATTATCGAAATTCATTATATTGTATTCAAACGTCATCATATATATTATCTTCACAGTTTTGAATATTAGAATTGCAAAATCCCATTTCCTCATCTTTTTGACAAACCAGATCTATAATAGCACTATGATCAACAAATAACATTAATGCTTTTTATAAAAATATATGAAAGAGAAAAAATATTTAAATGTAAAACTTACTTTAATAAATCACCTTCAAAGCTATTCCAACGTACTATTCCTGGATGTGTTATTTTATATTCTAACATATTATTAAATTGTTCTTGTAATTTCTGTAAAAAAAATGCAAAATTCATTAATATAATCATTAAAATATTATTCATTAAAATAATTCATTAAAATATTATTAAATATTATAAATTTTATATTATAGATGTCTATTTTTATACCTGAATAAGTTGTGCAGTTTGCAAGTCGCATGCAAAGTTTTGACTACTTGCTAAACTAATAAAATAATTTCCTTTTTCTTTTTCTAAAAAAAATTTAAAATATTAATACATATATTAATTATATATTAATTATATATTAATTATATATAAAAATCACATACTTATAGTCATATTTGGAGCAGCAAATAATAAAATTGGTGCAGTAACGCATGTAGTATCATGTAAATATATTGCTGTTGATAATTGCTTTGTAAAATATGTAATAAATGGACTAGGAAACTTCTTAACTTTATCGTTTACACTTGATGGATGTACAGCAACACTTCCATCTTCTGGAGTCCATGCAAGTGTTCCATTTTTTGTAACTCTTCTAAAAAATAATTTAAATTTTGTTATGAGTTTTATTTTTATTAATTATTATTATAATGACTTGAAAGACACATACTTAATAATAGCAACATTGGGATACAATCCAGCACATACTATTGCTTTTACTAACATTGTATTTTTAGAATTCTTATTAGCATTACTATCGCTTGGATTTTCTGTTTCCATAAATTTCATTTGAAACAAATGTTGGGCAAACTGAGTTTTCATTTCAGAAAGAAGTTTGAGTGTATTAAAAGAAAGAAAATATTCTCTACAAAAAGAGCTTGCATAACCTCTTTTGTATGCAAGCTCAAATCCTGTTAATGCCTCAGATAATGCAATATGATCACTGAATTGTCCCATATTTAATTCAAGTTTCTTTTGATGTGCTTGATCTTCTTTTCCAAGAGGACAATAAAATGCATCTTTAAAACTAAGACTGGCTGCAATTGCAAAAACTGGCTCTACACATGAAAATA